CCCCCCCCCTCCTCCTTCCTGTTGTTTGTCTTTTTGATCAGCTCGTTTTTAAAAATTGTGTTATTAGTTGCCAAGTTGTTCAGGCCATCTGCCATATTTCTGTGTATGTTGTTCCCTGTCTTCCTGTGCTCTTCTTTCACTTTAGTCTACAGCAGCAGTTGCTCCAGCCCATTTGATCTGTTTCTGTGGCCCAAGAATCTCAAATGTCTATTTCTGACAGTTCTGGCTACAGATCTTTCCCAACCCGCCACTCGGAGCACTTCTTTACGCTCCTGTCTGTCCACGAGATCTGAGGATTCTTTGTACAGACCACATCTCGGCGCCCCCGTCTTCTCTCTGTCTCAGTGTTCAGAGCCCCGCCATCGCACCCATACAAAGGACGGACCACAAGTACGCTCCAGGGGTTCTTATCTTTGTGTGCATTGCTGTATGATCCCGTGAAAGAAGACGGGTAGTTCTTAGTGCTGTAGAAAAAACGTTTGGCCGCTCACTGCCCAGTATGTGCTGGTCCAGTGTGGTCAGCTACCTTAGTGTACAGTGGGCGTGGCTCGCTGTGCTGGTCCAGTGTGGTCAGCTACCCTAGTGTACAGTGGGCGTGGCTCGCTGTGCTGGTCCAGTGTGGTCAGCTACCTTAGTGTACAGTGGGCGTGGCTCGCTGTGCTGGTCCAGTGTGGTCAGCTACCTTAGTGTACAGTGGGCGTGGCTCGCTGTGCTGGTCCAGTGTGGTCAGCTACCCTAGTGTACAGTGGGCGTGGCTCGCTGTGCGGCCCAGTGTGGTCAGCTACCTTAGTGTACAGTGGGCGTGGCTCGTTGTGCGGCCCAGTTCGAAACCCTTCCTTTAGCTTAACGTTGTTCTCCCCGGCACCAGGACGTTCAGGACACAGAGGAGTCCGACTCCGATCTCTCCGCCGGAAGTGGCAGCGGCGACTCCGACAGCACGTTCACGGACACAGAGACTGATGACGTGACCCCGGCCTGGGGACCCCCCGTACAGCTGGACCTGGGCGGCGGGCAGACGGCGGCCTGGGTCCTGGACACCGACAACTTCGCGCGGCTCAGCCTGGCCGACTGCTCCACTGACGTCATCTTCCGGTCCCCGCTCGTGGCCGACTTCCAGCTGACCAGAGAGGCCGGCATGGGGGTCGTGTTGTCGCCACAGGCAGGTAAATCTAGGTCGTGTTGTCCCCACAGGCAGGTAAATCTAGGTCGTGTTGTCGCCGCAGGCAGGTAAATCTAGGTCGTGTTGTCCCCACAGGCAGGTAAATGTAGGTCGTGTTGTCTGTCTCCACAGGCAGGTAAATGTAGGTCGTGTTGTCTGTCTCCACAGGCAGGTAAATGTAGGTTGTGTAGCTCAACGGCTGTACCAACCAGCATCAACACATCGCCGTGTGGCATTGGGAGGGTCGGAATGGTAGAACCGGGGGGAGCACTGGGAGTCACTGGGAGTCACTGGGAGTCACTGGGAGTCACTGGGAGTCACTGGGAGTCACTGGGAGTTGGGGAAACGACCTGTGCAGGTGCCAAGTTGTAGTAGCAAACAAAAACACAAAGGATAAACACAACTGGTTCAACAGAAAACAAATGCTCAGAACAATATTTATTCTTCTGGTAAAAAGTTAAGGAAAAAACCCCGGGGAAACGGCCTCCCTGTGAGGTGTGTAGCGTCTGTAGAAATTGGCAAGAGCAAGTTTCTGATGTTGATGGTACCAAGATTTGCTCACTGATGCCGTAACTTCCACAGTAAGAAGTAAGTCACGGCTGGCACGTGGACGGGCAGAATCTGTCCCAACAATCATTTCGACATTATTTCTGCTATCTACTGCAGAACCCGTGTAAGACGGACACCCATTGTCAGGGAGAAAAGTGGACGTATCAGACAGGTGGCGGTCTTAGCGGAGTTGGTGATTTTTTTGATTTTTTAAATAAAAATTTAAAAAATGGATTTTTAAAATTTAAATCAAGATTTTTTACATTTAAATCGGATTTTTTTTATTTAAAAAAAAATGTCGACACAGTTTGTTCTTTTAGTGCAAAATGCATTGTCTTTATTTTAACTAATGATTAATTTAAGCAACTGCAATTTTAGAAAGCCTTAATCTGCTAAATCTATATCAGTGAATTATGGCTACAGACAAAAAATGAAGAAAATGTCAGTCTAAAAGGAAGGGGGGGGGGGGGGTGAGTATGCGTAGATAAACTTGCATTCTATTACAGTGTGTGTGTGCGCGCGCTTGTGTTTGTCTAAAAAGAAATAGAAAATGCTAATTTCAATTATGAAAAAAGAGTAAATTGAATACAGTATTATTTTACTACTTACAGTGAGTGACAGGGGGGAAAGCAGACTTTTAAGCATGATTACTTTAGTCTACTAAACATTATATATCTGTTTTATAAAACCAAGGAAAGGAATTCTGAATGTTTAAAGATGTAAAAATAGAAAACTTTAAAAAAAAGTGATTTAAATCACTGAGATTTATTTTTTAAATCAAGTTGATAAAAAAAAATTTTAATCAACTGATTTAAATTGACCTGATTTAAATCAACCCAACCATGGTTTTCAATTATGAAAAAAGGGTAAATTGAGAACTGTATTATTTTACAGTGACAGGGGGGAAAGTAGACTTTTAAGCATGATTATATTAGTCTACTAAACCTTATATTGTTTAATAAAACCAAGGAAAGGAATTCTGAAGGTTTAAATATATGTAAAAACTGAATACATTTTTTTGAAAAGTGATTTAAATCACTGATTTTTATTTAAAATATCAAGTTGATTAAAATAAAAAAAATCAACTGATTTAAATCAACCCAGCTCTGATTTCAATTATAGGAAAAAAAGTAATTTGAATCTGTATTATTTTACAGTGAAAGGGGGGAAAGCAGACTTTTAAGCATGAATATATTAGTCTACTAAACCTTATATCTGTTTTATGAAACCAAGGAAAGGAATTCTGAATGTTGAAATGTGTAAAAACTGAATAAAAATAAATATTTTAAAAAGTTATTTAAATCACTGATTTTTATTTAAAAAATCAAGTTGATTTAAAAATTAAAAATCAACTTATTTAAATCAACTTGATTTAAATCAACCCAACCCTGGGTCTTAGACAGACGGACA